CCCCCCCGCCCCGTCTGTTTGCCCTGGGATTGTCGGGGGATTTGGCCTAGTGCCTCTGCGAGGCATCGCAGAGCATTGATTAGGGATCAATTACTCTCAGGCCGGAATCCTGAGGAGCTACCTTTAAGACCAACACAAAGCAACTCTGCCCTAAGAGCCAAGAGAGTTTTCGAACAAATGTTTGGGCAGATTGCAATGAAATCTAAATTCTGAGGCAGGAAGGATTGGAGAGCAAAGCCCTCCAGCCGAGGCTGGGCTGCAAAATGCTGCCAGCGAGGAAGCACAGCCTAGGCTGTGGAGGAAACACTCTCTTTTTCAATCACCACGGGCCCAAGGGAAAAGCTCTCGGTGGCGACACACAAGCGTTTGCCTTCCTTTCTTCAAGGGGGAGAAACTAAATGGAGGGGAAAAGAGGCGTCACTGGCAAACATCCTGCTATTTCATCAGTGAAATTGTTCCTAGAATCAGCAGCCGCGACCAATGCACACGATGAGCCTTCAGAAGTAAATGAAACAATGCTGCCATCTACTGGGAAAGGGGGCTTCTAGACACCGTCGGGATCTTGGCGCAGAACTGTAGTTTATTCTTCTTCATGAGAGTGTAAACTTAAAAAATATCCCGTTAAATGTTTTCTGATGTTCTCTTGTTAGGAATTTCTTCCCTTTGGCCCTGGACCAACTATCTATCTATTCATGCCGCCACCTAATACCAAAAGGACATGAAGGAATGAAAACATAGAGAACTGATTCCAGACCCCATGGTGGGAAGGGGCAGCATGGAAAAAGCATCAGACAAAGCCCCAGGGGATCTAGATTCTGCCCTGGTTCTACCTGGAGTTGGCCATAGGAGCTTTGGCAAGTCACTTTCAGAGATAGGAGGGGAAGGGTCTAGCATTTGTTAAGCACCTTGCATGTTTGACAGTGTGATGGCCACTTGCACTTACTTTCGATGACATATTCCCATTTTACAGATGAGGAGAGTGAGGCTCAAATGGGGTTAAATAATTTGGGCCCGGTCACTCAGCTAGTGAATGGAAGGTTCCATTCAAGTGGTTCTCTGATTTCAAAGCCTGTGTTCTTCCTACTACACTGGGTTGTTTCCCAAAAGGGTCTTAAGCAACATGCACCTCTGAAGGCTATTCTTCTAGAACTGACCAAGCAAGAGATGGCAGGATCTGAGTGTAGGAAGCATAAAGGACCCTCAAGTGATTCCAAGCTTTCTTGGAACCTTTTTAAATTCTGGTTATCTTGGTTATAGGCAGTTACTATCAATGCCTAGCACATACTTTTAAACTGTTGGATATTAATGGGCCACACCTCAAATCCTCTCAGAGATTTTAGGGTCTTGGAGAATATACCAGTCCCATGGTGAGAGTCCTGGAGGCCAAGGCAGGCTGCACTGTCAAGGCTCTGTGAGCCTAATAGGGCCCAGAACAGTCAGTCAGCATCTTACAAGTTCACAGGGTGGACCGCACACAACTGCACACAACTGGTTCTTCGGGTTATTGAATTCTCTTAAACCAAACAAAAGATTCCCTGGCCAAACAAGTTTCAGTTTCTATGGTCAAATAATTTCAAGAAATTCTAGACTAAGTAAAGGTTAGCAAGACTTTTTCCCACGTTGTGGTGTGCCATGAATCAAGAATTGAGGGCTGAAGTATGCAGCATTTTTCAAAAGGATCTGACCACATGACCCTTTTTTTCCATGAAACATTTCACGGCACCAGTGCGGGGGGATCTCAGTCTGAAGAAGACCTGCCCAGAAGGGTGTGCGTTGGTTCAAAGCTGAACCAGAATAAGTGAGGATCGCTTCTGAGCTCAGGAGGTGTGGAGTCTTCTGAGGCTCTCCAGTCCAGGGAACCCCTGAGGAAGCCCCTTGGCATGGAGACTCCAGTTCCTCACATCCCCGCATCCCCAGGTAGCTGGGGGTCCCTGTCTTCCAAGGAAGGAAAGAGCACCCTTTATAAGCCTGCTCGCAGCATTGGGAACACTCTGCGTGGAATGCCGCCTATGGAGTGTTTCTAATAAAAGTTGGACTGGTGAGCCCCCTAGAGATGTGTTGTTATGGAATTTAAAAAATACAAAGTGAGGTCATCGGGCAGGAAGAGGGAAGGGTTGAATGTATGATTAAACTAAGGTTTTATTAAATGTAGAATTAAAAAGCAAAGTTATGATCCAAATGAATGGGAACCCTCATTACAGTTTCAATACTGATCTTGATGAAAGGCCCTCAAATTTGAGTGTTATCTCCAGTTGGTCATGTTGTAACAACTCGTGTTTAAAACATTATCAGAAAAATATGATATTTTCATCAGGATTTAATGACAAAGAAAAGCGGTGTGCTAGAGTTTATAAACCATTGAATTAATTGACACTACCAGGTCCAAATGAACACAACGCACTAATCTCAATACCTAACCCTTCATTCAGTACTCTTCATATTATCATAGTCTTTTATAACAACAAATGATGACCTAATAAACTAAGACATTTGTTTCCATAATTTCATTATTTAGGATAATAAAAAACCACAAACAGGTAAAACAACTTGGTTCTTATTATTAAAATCAAGAATAACTAGCACCAGATTTACCTCAGGTTAGAAAATTATAGCACACAAATGTGGATAGGAAAGCAGATTTTTATTAGAGCTGAGTCATTTTTGCTCATATTCATGAGCATTTTCCATTGTTTTTGTCAGGCTGACATGATTTATAATGCAAGGCCATGCACTTTGTCACAGAATATAACTTAATTATTCTAATAATTTAGACTATGCTTCTGCTGATTACCACTGATAAAATAATAAAAGCCTTTAAATGTATAGCATCTATTCGTGAGACTCAGAATATTTTATCACTTCTTCCTCAGGCACAGAGGAAATGATCAGTGAGTCAGGAGTCTAGGGTTAGGAGGCCTATTTATTTTTCAGAACCTATGAATTCCCTCATATTGTCTTCAAAACACGAAAGCAGAACCAGGCAATGTGAGTGGGGCTTTAAGAAAGGCTCCCGGGGAAGGTGCTCTGAGTGAGTAGGGCAGGGGGCCGTGGTTACAGGGCTTCAGGTTGACACTGCCCACTGTGAAGTCATCACGGGGACAAAGGAGGGGCAAAAAGCAGTGGTGGCTGTGCCCAGCAGGTGTCATGAAACGACAAAAGTGTACTATTAGGAAACTATTAGGAAATTAAGAAAAGAATATATATACTTAGGGTGTCTCAAGAAATGTATACACATACTTTAAATAATTATCAAGGCAGTGGTTATTTAATTTAATTTTCAAAATTGAACTATTAGCTGTTAAAATGTGTATACCTTTTTGGGGGATGCCCTGTCGTCTGAGTTTTGAGAGGTGAAGGCAAGAAGTCCAGTGTGAATACATGCAACACTTTTGTAAATTCAGAAACATATCATGGATGCTCTCCATATATTTTGCAGGAAATGAATCAAAGTTTTAAAGAATTCTCTCACAAACCTGAGTTTTTCAACCAGAATGAGAAGCTCAGTTCCCAGGCTGTGCCAGTAGCAACATCAAGCTATTTAAGTAAAAGGGAAGATCGCCCATTCCTTCCATTTATATTTAGCACTGGTAGCTGTGGGGGTGGAGGGGTGATACGTGACATGTGGGGAGACTGCAACACACACACACACACACACACACAATTGATTTATGCATATTCACATATGTTTCCCTAAGGCAAAACCAAATTCTAGAAAATGTTCCTTAATTTCACTCTGACAGATTGGCTGGAAGTTTCGGGTGGCAGCGCCAGGGGTCGGTGGACTTACTTGCAGGCGTAGTGGTCCACGGCCTCGATGAACATGCACATCCCGCCGTGGAGGCAGTACCCCGCGTGGGACAGGGGGCACTCCGAGTAGCCGTTCCTCACGGAGGAGCGCCCATCCTCCCTGAGGGCAGGCGGCGGAGTCGAGTCTAGAAGAAGCAAAGACACTCCTTGTATTTTCGGAGGCCATCAGCCTCCTTCGGGTACAAGCACCCGCCTCACATTAGGGGAGACCTGCCTCAGTGCCCGATTTCGCTAACCCAAAGAAACCTAAAGAGGATTTTCGCTTTTACAAAGAGGCAAAAACTGAAACTAGCATTCAGGGTTTGTTTTGCATGAGCCCTTAGAGAGGCAGCCGCCCCCCAGCAGCGAGAAGGGCCAAGCCCCTCCCCGGGGAACCACACCGAGCATCTCAGCACCAAGGGGCCATGGCTTTGAACAGTGCCTGTGACCATCGGCGCTCCATCTCCACTGGTTCTGTGCACCCATTAGCAAGACGTGTTCTAAGGCATCAGAAAAGCCTAAGCGCCCCTGAGGGTGTAACTGGGCCTAATGAAGTGTATTTGGTATGGTCTGGTAGGTTATTTTTTGGATCTGGGAATGCTCAAAATTTTTTCCATACAAATTAATGGTAGTGATTGCTCTTTCACTTGACTTCGTCTCAGCTTGTGGCTGGCAGGGGAAACCTATATCAGTATCAGGGCCTAGTTTCTGTGAATAATTTGTGATATAGTGTCTTTTGGTGACAGTAGAACTATCAGAGCAACAATAGTTTCACTTTCCTAACCACACTTTGTGTTACTCACCATGAAGAGATCTATTCTTTCTTTAGGTTCAGTACTTTTTGACAGAAAGCATATTGGAAGCAAATAAGAGAATGGTCAGTCCTAAGACGCCGAATGAATGCAGAGTCACTGATCTCATTATAAACGCACATCTGTCATCCGCAAACACACACGGTGGGAAATGACAGCTAGCTTTAAGAGGGTCTCACCGAACCACAGTATCTCTTTATGGCTTATAAACCACCCACCAATACACAGTCTATTACTGCCGCTATCCTGAGAGTCTCAAAATTTTTTCCCACGCAGTGATTTCTTCTAAAAACTATTTAACTTTCAGGTGAAACCTCAAAAACAAGACTAGTCCTGTTGAGAGAAAAGAAATGTTACGATACATAGGAAATGCCAAAGTGGTAAAGCCCTTTCGCTGGATGGTTCACTGCTCTTTAAAAGGAAAACATTAGGGCGTGTAGCTATGTAAATATTAGTGGTCTTCCAATACCTTTAAGAAGAGCAAATTACTTGAGAAAAAAGTTTGTTAGAAAAAAATGGAGACCCGAGGAAGGGCAGAACTTTTCTTTATTAGGATGTGTTCTGCTTGCAGAGCTGAGCCTGTTAAATAGCTGGTGGGATAAACAGTAAAGGGAACAAGCCCCATCCTGCTGTCCAGGGCCTCTGAAGCCAGCCCTCTGCTGGGGTGCTGATGGTGAGAAGATGTTGGGTAATGGGGAGAGGGTTCAGGAAGCAGGAGTCGAGCACTATGAACATTTTAAAAAGAAAGAAAAAAGAGCTGGAGTTCTAACTCAGATCAAGAAATACTAACTTTTTAGAGTAATATTTTAAAATCCAGACATCCTCCCCAACCTGCCCAGCCCTGCAGAGTCTCTCCGGCATCCCAGGAAATCGACATTACAAACCAAGACATTCGCTGCATAGTTACAGAGAACCACCTGCGTTGCCACCTTTACTGAATTGTGAGTAATAAAAACAGATTTATTCCGGATGCTATCAAATTAAAAAAACAGACCATTTCACATTCTCAAGCCCAGCATCGACCTACTCAGGAAAACAAACCCGACAGCCTGATGAAACCAAATGATTTCTAGAATCTCAAATACACAAGGGTACAGAATTTTCCAGAATCAATTCCTCCCCTTGGATCTACATCACCCAGCAGCGTACCAGGGCAGATCAGTCCGGGCTCAGACAGGCTGCCGGCACACAGGCAGGTGTAGTTTCCCTCCGTATTTATGCAGGTAGCATTTTCCCCACAGGCGTGCACGCCCAGCTGGCACTCATCAATATCTGCCAGGAAAAAAAAGGGGAGTAGGTAAGAGAAAAGTGGGGTGTGGAGGAGGACAGAGGGTCGTACAGTTGGAAAACCCAACATTCTAGAAGAGAAGCCTCTTGGACTTCTCTCGTGCTCACGTTCTCAGAGCGCTACATGTTTTTAGGTTCAAACGTTTTATCATGAACGTTGGTGAGAGAGATGAACAGGGTCGCTCGGCCGCTTCCCATTCAGGTAAACTCCTGGCATGAGGCTATGAGCTTTCCTACTGCTGGGAAGGAAAGGAAACTTCCCAACACAAGCAGCTCAGTGGGAAAGTTGGAGATTGGTGAGGGATCTGTAGGCAAACATTTAGAAGTTCAGATCACACCAAATAAAATATTGGTGCCTTTTGAACATAAATATAAACCAGGCCATCACTTTCTTTCCCAGCTACCCATCTTTTCCTTTCTCAGTTACCGCCACCCTAACATTCCGGTCCCTCCTCTCCTCTATTTTACATTACTACAAAAACAGTCTTACTACATTCCCAGCACCCCACTCTCCTCTGCCTCACTCCCAACACCAGTGACATATTAATCGTCCTGAACCATGTCTCCCATCACTGCGCCACTTGGTTCAATGCTGCCAATGCTCTCTGCTGCCTAGAGCTGTGCTCCCACTGTGGCAGCCATTGCCACATGCAAGGACTGAGCCCCTGAGCCACAGCTAGTCCACGTAGTGCTGCAAGGCACATGGCAGGTTTTGAAGACTTAGTATCAAAATTTAAGAGTGTAAAATTATCTTAATAATTTTTATATTGATTATATAGTGAAATGTTACTATTTTTGATATATTGGAATAAATGAAATATACTTAAAATTAATTTCACCTGTTTCTTTTTACTTTTTCTAATGTGGCTACTGGAAAATTTTAAATTATATATGTGACTGACATTATATTTCGATTGACAGCGCTGGTCTAGAGAAGTGAAACCCCAATGACTAACCCTCAGATTCTAGTCTTCTACAAATGGAACCTGACCCACCTGTTATATACTGAATTGTATCCCCCCAAATTCATATGTTGAAAACCTAAACTCTGATGTGACTATATTTGGAGGAAGGGCCTATAAGGAAGGAAGGTTAAATGAGGTGATAAGAATGGGGCTCTGGTCCAATACGATTGGTGTCATTATAAGAAGAGACACCAGCTCTCTCTCTCTCTCTCTCCATGAGCCACAGAGAAAAAGCTCTGTGTCTGTACAGCAAGAAGGCAGCCGTCTGTAAACCAGGGAGAGTCCTCACCGGGAACTGAATAAACCATCTCATCTAACCTCCAGAACTGTGAGAAAATGTCTTGTTTAGACCACCTTACCAGCCTCCGTTTCTGATTCCCCTCACATACAATGGACACGTAGTGCTCAATTAGGCTATTTTCTACCTCTTCACATTTCTGCCTAATAAAAATTTACTCATGTCCTGGGCCCATCCAAAATAATACTTCCTCCATGAAGACTTTCCCAAAACTGCAAACATATTTCTTCCAGTCCTGAACTTCCACTGTAGCTTTTACTTCTCTTATGATGCATGCCTTTTTCACACTTATCACAGCTATATTTCTTTCAGATCACATTGTCCTGGCAAGCAAGGACCGCCTTCATCTTCTTGGTATTCCTCTCCGTTCCCAGTGCTGTGCCTTTGCACTAATAGAGGCCAATTTATATAGCACTATATCTATATCTATTATATATATATGGAGAGAGAGAGAGAGGCTGGGAGGGAAGGAGAGAGAGGGAAAGAAAGAGGGAGGGGGAGAGAAGAGGGCAAGGACAGGAACCAGCTCACGGCTTCTATGGGGCAGGCTGGGCCATGACACCCCATGGCATATTTGCTACTGGAAGGAGGTGGGTTAGCAACAGAGTGAAAATCCAGAGTCTAATGAGGTTAAACATCCAAGAAAGTACGCCTTCCTTTCCCTTCAAAGTAAATTACATATAAAGCCTGTTTGTCTAAATTATCTAAGAGTCTGTTTAATTAGAGCAGTGGCATTTTCCTGACTGACAGTCAAAAACATGCTTAAAATAGCATTTACAGATGTCTGTGGACTCCACAAGACTCATCTGATAAAGGTCTGATTTAAATCAGCCAGATCCAGAAAACTGACTGATGTTTCATCTTTAACCTCAACTTATAGGAGAAAGCAATACCATTTTAGTTGCTTATCAGGGTATCTACCCCTCACTTTGAAAAGATCTTTATGTTTACAGAAGGAAAAGAAAATACTGTACTCGGAGACATTTTAAAGCCCTGTACAACTTCAGGTAACCACTTCGCTGGGCGACAATGGCTTCAGGCAGGTCTTCACTTGTACGGGGATGCTACGCTACTGACACCTGGAATGGGACCAGGCATTCACTAAGAGAACTCCTGCCCAACAAGCCACACCCAGACCTTGGCAGAGGGTGGTGATTATGAAAGAGGCCTTAATCATTCATTATTTGTATCTAGATGTCAGTGGCTTCAGTCTTTCATCTATTGAACTTATGAAGAGCCACCCAAAGTGCCCTTTCACAGAACCACACCTCCTTTCCTTTACACACACGCACACACACACAGAGTAAAACATGGATCAGCTCTGCAGTTCACCACCGTTCACTTGCTAAATTCGGTGACAAAGAGAATGTTGTTCAATTCCCCCCATGATGGCTCAAGGTATGGAGGTCTACTGTGTTTTTTTTTTATAGTTGTATTGATTTTTTTTAGGGGGGTAAGGGGAGGGAGAGAGAAAGATAGACATCGATCAGCTGCCTCTTGCATGCCCCCCACCAGGGATCAAGCCCCCAACTCGTGCATGTGCCCCGGTGGGGAATGGAACCAGCAACCCCTCCGTGCATGGGATGACGCCCAACCAACTGAGCCACGCCAGCCAGGGAGCATGGTATGGTGTCACTCAAACCCAGAAAAAGGAACTGAAAGGCAGAGGGATAAATTACCCTTGCAGGGTGTTGTCGCTGACTAGTGCGAAAATAGCACACGGGCACAAACTTGACTGTGTACCGAGAACTGGAATATGTCAGTCTTAACATGTATGCGACCCAGTTATATCCTGTCTTTTCTTGGCCCACCACACCCAGAGCATTTCATGATTCTGCCCCCCCCCCGGCGCATGCTCTTACCAAGGCAGTGTGTCCCGTTTCCTCGGTGGCCTTCGGAGCACCGGCAAACATAGCCGCCTTCGGTGTTGACGCACGTGGAGGAGGGGTGCTGGCACGCGGCGCTTCCCATCTCACATTCATCTATGTCTGTGGGCAAATGAGCTAATGAAGCATATAGGCAATCCTGGTATAAATGAGGATACTGGGAAGGAAAAGTGTAATCTTATAGACGATCATCCAGCTGTTTACAGAGACTGCTTGCAAATGCAATGCGAACCCGCAAGTTCGTGTCTTAATCAATTTTTACAGATTTCTCACCTGCCTAATTAGTGAAGTATGTGTAAATAAATCAGAGTTTCAGACCATAAGGACTGAGATTTTTACAGTAATCACTAACATAATTTTGAGGCTAGCAATATAAAATAGGAGCCTATTCATCACAGTCTATTTATGAAACCAAAACTTATGACCTAAGCTTTTGGAGGAAAAAAGGCTGTGTTTTTATTGAAATTATTGATTTTATAAATTTGACTTGAACTCAAATTAATACTTCTGAAGCTAATTACAAATTCTTTTCCTTAATGTCAACTCCATGTATCATGTCATTTTAACATATACTCAACGTAATATAACAACATATTATATGTTTCACATTTTCTATACATGCCACCCATTATCTTTGTAGCTGATACCTAATAATTTATTTAATCTTGCTGATTTCATGAGCCCTTCTGGAGATTTTGAACCATATGATCTGAGAGAATGTTTCTGGTTCACTACTTTCCACAATTACGTGCATTGGCCTTCACTCTTACCAGAACATACTTTTCCATCCCCAGCAAATCCTCTCAAACACTGGCACGTGGCAACCTCTCCCTCTGAAATGCATTGGGAGTGTGGTCCACATCCCACGGGACCACAGTCGTCTTCATCTGCAAACAGCAAGAACCCCATCAGATTAACTCCAGACCTCAGAGGAAAAAAATGGGCTTTAATGTTCTGGGTTCTACAAAATATTCCAGAGAATCCTTTTTCAAGTTCTGGGACAGGTTAACCTCCAAATAGAAACACTGTTGACCTGGAAGCTATATCCATAGTAAAGGGCCCACAAGCCATCTGTTTCCATTTACGTGCTCTCAACAAATCTTTAGTCTTAACTGGTGTTCAAACAGCCCTGCGTATTTACAATTTTTAAAAGCATTTAAAATCTGAATTATTAAATTGCTAGGAGTGAATGGACTCAAATTGCAAACGGTTTATTGCTTATTTGAGAATTCCCAGCCATTATGACACACGCAAAGGGTCAATATGTTCTTATTCCTCATAGACACCCGGAGTAATATATAGCAAGTAGCTCTGTGTACTAACATGGCAAAGATTCAATCGTAAAGATTTACTGTCAATTTACTAAAATTGGTGTTTCATATATAATAGAATATGTATGTCACAATGTATGTTTATTATCAAGATTTATGCAGTGACTTGCAAACCTCAAGGCACTTTTACAAAGTCATGAACCATATAAACGAAATGCTGTAAATGGATCATTTCATTTCATACTCCATTGAAATGCAGATGCCCCAGGGGACAGAGTTGCAGGCTGAGCCATAAACATGAGCGAGTTTCCCCCCCCTTCACTTATGTATATAATCATCCTCCCTTTTGGGGTTGGAGGGGGATCTGACATACCACAGTAGGATATAAGCTGTCATCTGTCTATTCACTAGTAAGTTTGCTCATCTGAGTATAGAAGAGGTCAAACTTGCCCATAAATTTAAAGAAAGTTAAATGATCAAAGTAGGATCTGATGCCATGTGAACGCAGATGTTGGGTAATTGCGTTTGATTTGCTTAGCTATTTGAGTAAGATTTCTCCTGTGGGAAAACATGCCTTTCAGGCCTGTTGGTAATGTGTCACTCGTGACTCTTAAAGATGGATCACTTCAGACTCAGTCAATTACCCATTTGATTCGGCATTTATTGGAGAACTAGCTTCCAAATCACAAGGCTGTTCAGTGTGGTGGACAGTATCCAATTACTCAAGACATTTTAAATCCCTTGCACCCATTATCTTAAATTAGAATCTGATTCAGGGTTTCTTTGGTAACTTGCAAACCCTAAGGCTGCTTTGCAACCGATATGCAGTTGTTTGGAGGAATGGGCTATCGCCAAAGTTCTTTCTGCCACAGGCTAGCCCTGGAAAGAAGGAATGCCTGGGCTTCACGCTCCTCTAAAACACAAGCGACAGCTTCTGTTCAGTCTGCTTCACACAACTGTTGTAAGAACTTGAATTAAAAAGTGATTTTTAAAACTCCTTTGAAAATTAGAGAATATTATGCATATCTAAATAAAGATGATAAACAAGAATGCTGTGACAGCCTGAGTCAGAATGTGTCTTATCACACGAGAGAAGATTCTGGGGTCTGTTGCTAAATTAACAGTAACATTTAAAAGTACCTCATATGTGCCAGATCCTAACGAGGGTCAAAAATACAGTGGTTGAGAATACAGACGAGGGCTCTGCTTTCTTGTGTAATTAATGATTGAAGTGCAGGTATGGTAAGCGCTACTCATGAAACAGTGCCCAGTTCTAAGAGAACTGAAGTGGCTCTCACCTCACCAGATCAGGAGACTAGAAAAGGCTTTCTGAGCAAGAGCATATAGAGCTGAAGGATCTGCAGGACTTGGAGGGGTTAGAAAGAGCACTGTGGGCCAAGAACACGGCACCTGCATGTTACAGGTAAGGCCAGGGTAACCGAAGCAGGCCACAGAAAACTGAAGAGAGAGGGCACACATTTTGGTTGGTGAAGCGTGTCAGGGTTAGCTCATCTAGGGCCCAGCAGGCCACATTAAGAATTTCACACTTTATTCATGAATTTAGAATAATTCTTGATTTTAGTATATTTGACAATGAAACCTTTTTTGATCGAATCTCTTTGACATGGTGTCCACAGATCTACTCACGACATATCAGTCTGTGTGTCATTGGGGAATAAGAATATATTGACCTAAAATCCAATATAGAGTTTTCAAACTCATTTTAGTATAGACATTTTGTTGAAATGAGATCTCACTCATAAATAAGACCCCTTAGCTTCACACAGGTAGAACACAACCCAGGTATGAAAAGATTAGGCCATTTTCACCAGGACAATCAATTCCATCTATTCTTCATGAAGCAGAGCATAATCTCTAGGTATGGAGCCTCCGACAGAAGCATGCCAAATCTCTGGCCATTTGCCACCCATGTGCCTAATTTACTATCTGTCACTCACCTTGGTCTTCGAGTCCCCCAAACATTAATCTTCCAAAGTATGCTTTGTGAACCTCCAGGGATTCCTAGTGACTTTGAAAGTTTCTCTATATTGCTAATATTTATATTGTTTTATTTCATCATATTGTTTGTCTCCACCTCAGACCATGACCTTGGAGACTGGGACTATGTTTAGCTCATGATGGCATCCCCAGCACTTAGCATGGTGTGTGGCAAATAAACAGTTGTTAAATGAATGATATTCCTAATGTAACAGTGTTTACCTGTACTTCTTTTGTTGATGTGAATTAATTATTTGGTTATAATTTTTAAAACTCTTCGGTCAAGTCACTAACTTCATATATTTTAGTCTGTTTTCAAATCTGTAAAATGATGTGCTGTGTTAAGAATCAAAGTCCTGGTAAACTCAAAAGCTCCATATAAGTTATTGCTACTAAGAATATCCACCTCTTTGTATTTTATCAAAAATCACACTGGTAAGTTCTTATGAGGAGGGGTAAGAGGTCCCAGGGACACATACATTGACAAAGTAGTCTGCAGATCACAGAAGTTGGAGGAGCACTTAGTTAAGGGTATGTAATGTCCTACTGTGGAGTTTCCAATTTATTTTTAGTCACAGACACTTTGTTAAAATCTTACTCAGCTGTACTGACTGAAGGGCAGAGACCTAGAGTGAGATGGGGTGGGGTTTGCAGAAGACCTAAGGCCAAGCTAAAGCCAATTGGAAAACCACTGGCCTCATGAGTGAATATAGAATATAAAAGAATTAGGTTCTCTAAAGTTGTTAATACTGAACAGATAACTTAGCAAACAATCTATATTTTCTTACCAATCACAATCTACTTTCACATTAATGGAAGTACACTCAAATCTGTTCTGTCTCATTTTTCACCTTTGCTCCAAAGTTAAATTTCTTCTCAAAAGGTTCAGTCCAAAGAGTCTCAGTGAGTAAAGTTCTCATCCATCTAATGTGAGGGCATCTTCCTCAGGCGCACGGTTCAGAAGAAAAGGACCGGAGTTGGGGTCCAAAGTTTGGCTTCCCAGGCTATATGCAGGTTTAGCCACCATTAAGTTGGAGAGGTAATTCAGAATTTCTAACTGGGAAGATGGAAAGTGCTGGGACCAAAGCTGTGCTGGACAGCCATCATTCATACCTGAGGCCATGATCTCGGCCACGAGCACAGGCTGAGATTCTGTGATGTCACCTCCAAACCCCTGGCTGCTGGGGGCGGCGTCCGAAGGCATCACTTCATTACTTAGATCTGCTTCGCTACCTATTGAAGGGCAACAGATGTGATTAATTTCTCTTTTATGATTCAAGAAAAGTTTTATGTAATTTATGTTTATGGCTCTTTGTTTGCTGTGAATTCAGACTCATTCTTACAGTAAGAGCATTCAAGGAAACTGTCAGGGTCTTGGTGACTTAGAAAACCTCACCCGCGACACCCCACCATCCCAGCTGTCCTCCATGCAACTGATGCTTCGGGGAGGGGGAGCCAGTGAGGAAGAAAGGCAGGACATTTTTAGGTACTGGCAAAAAAACAATAAGAGTGAAATACCACAATCCTTACGAATATACTCAGCTCATAACCACAGGCTGCCATTGCGAGGGAAAATTAGTGAGATGATCTCAACCAGATTTCCATGCACACTCCTCCTTTAGGCTGTATTCAACACTTATTTTAGCCTGATTTACTTGTATTTAGAAATGTAGAGGGGCATAAACAAGCCATAATTTAATATAAGTGTGGGACCTATGTAACCTCCCAGACATGGGAGAAATGGATCCCCTAAAACACCAAATGCGTTCTCTGAGTATGGTGCATGGGTCCCTAGGGTTCCATTGCCTGGAGTCCATAAGTTCAAACTATTTTTATAAAAGGCAAATAACTCCTACGTTATCTATCTTTTCTCACTGCGTCTACGTTGATACTAATGGGCAAAAGCAATGATGGGTGGAACTGCAGTGCCTGAGCATGAATCAAGGCCATGGCACCTATAAACTCTACTAGTAGTCATGTTCTTCACTCACATATACTCACACACACACACACACTCTCACACACATACTCACTGACACACACACACACTCACACACTCACACATTCACACTCACACACACACACTCATACACTCACACGCACATACATACATACACATAAATGCACACACACATGCACACTCCACTTTCACTTAAGAAGATCAGTGATGAAGAGTAAGAATTATTTTTTAAAATCTCAATTATGCAACATTTGGCTCTTTAATATTCTGTATAATAAAATAGGAAATACACATAAAACACTGTTATCTGTGAAAGTACTGAATTATGATGGCTGTCTGAAGGAAAATCACTTGTATGCTCTTTGAGTTGCAAGTTGAAACTAGCCTCTTTTTTTCACTGAACATGATCTTTACTTGAAAGAATGACTGAAACACTATGTTATTAACACTTAGGGATTTGGCAAGCATATTTTTAAAAATGAATGAAGTGAGCCTGTCACTTCAAGGAAAACAACTCACAGTATTTGTTGCCAATAATAAAATTTGAGCTTTCAAGTGAAAAGTAGAATTCTGGAAAATGTCTTCTACTACCACGAGCTTGACAAAATCCTAATACTCGAAGACTTTTCTGATGAGTTTGATGATAATATTAATCAATGTGATTTTTGTGTATTAATGTGACAGTCAGAAGATCTGCATAACTTAACTGAATTTTCAAACAACCAAAACATGATGCTAACAAATCATGCAAGATAAAAGAGCCACTCAAAGGACAAAGTAGATCACTGGATGTGGCAGAAGACAAAATAGTTTATTGATATGGCTTCAGGTTCCACATTGCAACTAAGCTCTCAGAAACTACCAACTGTATAGATCTAACATAGTAGCAAATAAAAAATACAAAAAAGGGCATCTAAAAAAGCTATTAACTATTCCTCCCTTTTCTAACTCTGTGTCTCTGTGCTGCCAAATTTTCTTCATAGGCTTCAACCAAAATAACACAGCAATAGAGTTAACCTACAAGCAGATACAAGAATCCAGCTGTCCTCTACTAAGCCAGACATTAAAGATATAAAGGAAAATCAATGTCATTCTTCTTACTACATATTTTTATTTGGGAAAATATAATTATTCCATTTATTTCCATAAGAATATGTTATGTTCATATATAATGGAGTATAATTTTAATAGGTATTTTTAGAATTTTTTAGTTTTATTTCTAATATAAATATTGATAGATATAGCTTACATAAACTAGAACTCTTTGAGGTTCTTAATCATTTTTAAGAGTGTAAAGGGAACCTGAAACCAAAAAGGCTGAGAGCGTTTGTCCTAAGGCAACAATGCACAGAAAGCTCTGAAAATCCAAAATATCTAATTTCAGTCCATGGATAGACTGACTGATCCATTTACTTGCTATCAATCCATCACCTAACTTACATGATGCCTATCAGATGAATATAAATTTAAAAAAACATTTTAAATAAAATTTAAATTTTCTTTGGTACAAAGATATCAAAAGACGAATCCAAATATGCCATATTGTTTAGATGCACATTCAAGAGAAGCAAGTCAGGGCTACCGACTTACATCACATTGGACCCACTCTTCCTTCCTCTTCAGTCAGAGTTAGTTTTTAAAAACATGATCACAGCCTTCCCAGGTTGGGTTCCTCATACCTGTTTGATATCCTGAAGTTATTTATTAGAAAGGACTTTGCCTTCTAAACTAAGACCAGTCACACGGCGAGGGCGCTGTATATGTCCACCTCCAACATTGAGGCCATAAAGCTTCTAAACAAAATGTCTCTGAACATGACCTGAGATGGTAAAATACTACATTTATTTCTAAGGCTGGGCTACTCCACTGTAAATAAGGGGCTAGAGGATTGGACTTTGAATATTATCTTTTGTTCACTAATTTTACAATGAGAGGAGGTCAACTGAATTTAGTCTTTATAAGAAGCCCAAGCTCATCAGAGGAAGAAAAAAATCCAACACTTTGCATCCCTAAAAGCAGAGGTGCTTTTCATTACACAAAATATTTAAAATCAGCAAGAGCATAGGGTTCAATGTAGAACAGAGCTATATTCCTGAGCCAAGGTAAGAGAATTTAGCCATATAATTTATTATATTACCTGCTGAAGTCTGATGACCATTTAGAGCCAGACACATTTTCCCATCTGGGGCTTTCACAAAACCTTCACGACATGAACACTGAGCAGTTCCAAACTTCGCTTTGCAAATATGTTCACAGCCTCCATTTTGATATAAGCAGGGATCTGCTCCTAGAGGGGAAAAGAGATGCATTCGCAGATGGGCTCGGAGATCAAAGGGCTCATTGATACAAATCACAGTGTCCAGCTTGCGGGGAAAAGAAACTCAGTGTGTTTACATGGAGCCTAAATCAAGAGTATTTCAGAAGAGTTCCTATAAGGAGCCACTAAGATTGGCTCAGAATGTTATTACCTTATGAGTTATTGATTGAGTAGAGCAAGTACTTTTTTCCAAGAAGCTCTTTAGGCCGATGAGATTCCTATTTTCTAACTCATGATCTAGTCAAACTGAAAAAGGGCAACTTGGAAAGAAGAATTTCTGTAAGACATTGGCTGCCTTTTCTATTTGCTCGCTCCCTGGCACTCTCAGGGGATGGAGAAAGGCCCCCGGGTAGATAGAAGCTTCCACTGCAGGTGTTTAAATTGTCCCTTCCCCAATCCCATCCTTAGTGCCTTTAACCCAAGAATCATTTAAAAGGACAGATAAGTAAAAGCTATCCAAGAGGGGGGAAATGAGATTGGAAGAATAAAACCCAAATTCACTACCAGACTTAGTTTAAACAAAGTCCAAATCTCAGGAAATCCACCTAGATTAATGGGACATGAAACATCCCCCCTCCTCCCCTGCCATCAATTAAAATAGTTGCAGATTCCAGCCAAAGAAAGACTGTGTAACATGTCCAGTGTACCTGGTTTTGCCAATGGATGAACTACAACCAGTGATGAGGGCTTCAGCATGCTGCCTCGGAGACGTACCCTATTTTTGCCAGTCCTCTTGTTCACCCTTATTACCGAGGGCACAGTCCAATCAGAAAACCACACATGATCCTCAAACACAGCCACAGCAAATGGGTGACCTGGAAGCAGTTCCAATCCATTACATATGTCTTGTCTTTGCCGTGAATATATTTTGAAGGGCAAGGCTTGAAACATACACACAATCCCTACATTAAATCAATTCTTTAATATAACTGCTAAGCAAGGGACGAGTCGCCACCTGCATCAAGAAGAACCCTCGAGAAGGGACAACCTCATCTTAGAAAGGGGGGCCTTGTGGTATGAAGTCCTAGCAAAGCCCATCGTCACCCAGCATTTGGAGAACTGGAGAATGTGGGCTCATTGACATACGGGGTGGGGCAAAAGTAGGTTTGCAGTTGTAAATATGTGAAACCCAGAATCATTCCTGTATTATTATTTATTAATTATTGTTTACTAATTTTCTTATGAACCACCGTAAACCTACTTTTGTCCCACCCTATAATAGCACCCAGAGGCAGGAGGCCAGGTGGGAACATTTGTTTTTTGGTGATTCTGCCACTATTTATAGACTAAACTTGCGTAAGTCATCTTAGCCCTCTTTGCTTTTAATTTCTTGTCTTTTGAATGGCAGTAGTAAGTAGTACACTAATTCACAGGTTGTTGTAAGGGTATTTAAAATTTTAAGGTAACTGAGTAACAGTCTCCTCAAATTTCCATCTCCATCAACGCACTTCCCTGCATTAGACACCCACCTCCCTTCTTGCCTCACTTCTGTCCGATATTAGCCCACTGACCTGCGCTCCTGGTGCCCTCTGTCCAGCCTTCCTAGGCCCTTGTTCAGTCCATTACCCCTCTTGTTTACGTTTTCATTCCCTTCAATCTACTAGCTTCTTTCTGGTAACTGATGAATATCTTCAGGTCTCTCCCCATCCCCTTGCTCTGCCCACCTAGCTTCTTTTTGTCTCTTTCCTTCCATTTTTAGCCAAGTTTTTTGGAAGTCACTTATTATCTGGTACTTCCATTTTCATGGCTATCAACCCCTAGGTGGGCCCTTTTGACCTCAGCTAAACCCAGCTCTCCCTGCCACCGAAATTGCTCTGATAAGATTTTCCAGTATTTAGTAAGCAGGGAAATGTAATAGACCACCCCAAGTAATTAGAGACTAAAGCTAAGGAGGCCCAAGTTTGGAAGCTTTAATCACATCCAGTCACACTCCCCAGGTGGGTCCTTGCAGATGAGTGATGGATTTGGTGGATTAGAATGAATGTCTCCCTCTCCTGGCAGCAAATGCAAATAACTTGTCCTGGTGGCAATGAGTCTCCACCCAGCATTACTGACCAGGGTCATTAAGATTCATTTTACTCTCTAGCCCACTGTCCCAAATTAAAGCCAAAAATGCAGTAAGGGAGTTTTTTATATAGCTGTTGGGTTTTTTATTTGTGTTAAAACAACAACAACCCGTGACACAATATTTATCATCTTAACCAGTGTATAGTTCAGTAGTGTTAAGTGAAGTACATTCACATTGTTGGGCAACCAAATTCCAGAAGCTTTCTACCTTGTAAAACTAAAACTCTATACCTATTAAACAACAACTTCTCATTTCTCCCTCCCACTAGTCCCTGACAAAGAGCATTCTACTTTCTGTTTCTATGAACTTGACTAGTCTAGATATCTCAAATAAGTGGAATCATACAATATTTATCTTTTGAGACTGGCTTATTGCACTTAGCATAATATCCTTTGGGTTCATCCATGCTGTAGTACTATGTGTCAGAATTAGCTACAGTTTTTCAACAAATACCCTATACCAGACATAATACTTTTTAATTTTTGGTTATGGAAGACCCAAGATTGCATTTAAAATTAAGAATAAATTCCTTCAATCTTTACATTAAAAATTCAGTGTGGTGTTAGCCAGAGGGAAGGTGTGGGTAGTTGGAGGTGGGCAAAGGGGAGGAATGGCGATGGGAAGAGACTTTGCTTGTGGCGATGGACACACGGCGCAGTGTGCAGATGATGTTTTGTTGAGTTGTACACTTGAAACCTGTATGGTTTTGCCACCCAATGTCACCCCATTAAATTCAATTTTTTAAAAAAATCTTAAACTGGCAGTTGAGAAGCCATGAATTACATACCTGTAGATGGCACTGTAGTGATGGGAATAGTTATTTAGACATTTTAATTTCCAATTTTTTGAAAATAGCTTTTAATAGGAAGTTGCATTAGTCACAGATTAGAGTAACAATGCAAATTATTTTTAAAAATATCTGCTATGATTTTTGGTTTAGAATGCTGTGTCTTTATAGTTTGGTTCAAAATTTTCAAATCCCTTAGTACCTTCATATATCAAAGCTATAATTTAACATTCATTTGAGAGATTTTTTTAAAAATAATATATTTCTCTGCCACTAGACCCCATGACTTCACAGGAACAATATTTGTTTAACTCTCCACTGTTTATCTGCTTCTTATAATGATTCAATAAAAATCTATTAAGTGCACGGATGAATAATCTATAATTGTACACCAGCTTATCATTTATTGTGAAGCCTCTCTTTATTTTTTTAAAAAACTTAGAAGTATGTAAAATTTTCAGTTGTATGTATCTTGATCTATTTAATAGAAGTCCAGAAATTCATTACCTCTAAAACCAAAGAGAATGGGCAAAATAAATATCCTTTACAGATTATTAGTTTGTTAGTTTCTTCCTAATAAAAGAAACTATGCATTTTCATCTTCCCAGCCAACCAGTTTGTAAATCTCCAAAGCATCTTTATCATCTCATAGTGATTTTTTTACTACTCTACTCCTCCGTTTTACTGTTAAATGGCAATATTCTAGCTTAGGCCTTCATTAGCTGTTGGCAGGGCAACCTTTTAGTTTCTTGACTGATTTTCTTCCTCCAAATTTTCAATCCAACCCTTACACTGTTACCTAAGTGGTTATCCTGAAATACCAATCTTATATATATTTCCTGCTCAAGAACATGCAATGGCCCTGGCCAATGTGGTTCAGTTGGTTGGGCACTGTCCTGTGCACAGAAAGGTTGCCAGTTCCATTCCCAGCGGGCTCGATCCCTGGTAGGGGGCATGCAGAAGGCAGCCAGTCAATGTTTTTCTCTCTCCCTCTCCCTTCCTCTCTCTTAAGGAAAAAAAAAAAAAAAAAGAACACGCAATGGCTCCCTAGTACATTCAGAATTAAGTTAATCAACATATCTTGGCAATACTGACATACAAATATCAATTTTTGCAGCCTTATTTCAAATGATAAAGTTTTATCACCATGTATTTGCCCCATGGCCTGCTTCAAGTGCTGTCTTTGCAGATTCCCTGAGTCAAAATGAATCTCATAGCCATTTGTACTTCTCCTTTAACAGTTACCATAACTATAGTGTTTTAAAGGTATTTAAGAAAATACATGCTAACCCATGTAAAATCTGAAACCATAATGGGGGGGAATGATATTAATCTTTGCACATGTTATCAATAGATATTCATTAACTCCGGAAGTAATATTATCACTTGTAAAAATGACATTTTTCTAAAATATAAGAATTGATAACAGCTGAGCAAGTAAGAGGTTTTAAATTTTTTAATATTTCCATTCTGATTTTTCAAGATCTTAGTAAAGAGAAATGATTACACATCACTATTTTTTATCCAATTTTCCAATGTTCAGATAATCCTTGGAGCTCATAAATTCCCTGAGAAGTCTGTCAGTCTGTCTATTCCTGTCTCATCATATGTTTAAGAATGTGTGCACTCACATGTGTGTGTAAACATATTTTGTATTTAACACTCATCAACTCTCAGTCAAGATGAAGAAATCACCCATCCCAAAGCCTCACCTACATCGTTCTGGGCAAGTCTTTGGCGTTCTGAACCATCCAGATTGGCCATTTCAATCACAGACTGCTTGGCATCGCACCAGTACAACTTGTCAGTTAGGAAATCAATCGTTATTCCACTGGGCCAGACCAGCTCGGAGCTGGCGATAAGCAGCCGGCCAGCTCCTTGAAGGGAAGAACTTTCAATTCGTGGGTTAATCCCCATATCGGTCCAGAATAATCTCCTTTAATCAAGAAAGCATACAACAAGTAAAATGTGCACAAAATATTCTCTCATTCCTTCATCACTGGGAACATCAATGTAAATCACTTTAGGATAAACTAAGGAATGTAGATGAAGGAAGTATAGCACTATGTTGAATGAATAAATTTTCAAAAGCAAAAACTTATCTTTTCTATGTAGGGCATGTTGGACAGGAAATGCTGAATTAAGGCTCAGGTCATTAGGTAAAAAAAGGAATTATTAGTTTAAAAAATTGCAGAATATTACTAATTGAAAGTGTGTTCAAGTGCATATTCTTAAATTAGTATTTTACGCTACAAAAGGCAATGAAATCTTGCCAGCTTGCCCTTCTGCTATGCATATGTAAACTCGCCGTATATGTAAAATTACAGCGTGAAGACAGGAGCATATTTATCAATGATCTAGTTTTATACAGTGTACTCAGTTAACCCGGTTAATTTGAAGTTCTGTATATCACATTCTATAACTGTGCTGAGGGACATTTCTTCAGGTCAGTATCTTTTCTCCGGCCTGTTTAGAGATGATTACAGTCTCACTCTTTTAATCATGTGACTGGCTCCAAATCAATGATCTGTTCCTACCAATATTCTATTCCCCATAGATCATCATAAATAAAAGCTCCTTTTTATCCTTTTTTTGTTGTTGTTGGTTTTGGTTTTTTAAGGTTTTTTTTTTAATTTATTTTTATTGTCGAAAGTATTACAGATCTCCTCCTTCCCCCCCACCATTGGTACCCTCCACCCCACATCTGCCCTGCCTCCCCTACGCCACACTATTGTGTGTGTCCATGGGTTATGTATATGTGCCTATAAGTTCTTTGATTAATATCTCCCCACCCACCTTCTGCCCCCTGCCCTCACCTTCCCCCTGAGATCCTCAGTCTGTTCCATGCTTCTATGTCTCTGGATCTATTTTGTTACTCAGCCTATTTTGTGTATTAGATTCCACATATGAGTGAGATCATGTAAAACTGAATCAGGAAGAATCAGAAAACCTGAATAGGCCAATAACAACCAATGAAATCAAAGCAGTAATAAAAAAACCTCCCAGCAAACAAAAGCCCTGGTCTGGATGGTCTCACAGGTATCCTTGTTTTTAAAATCCAGGAAGGAATTGGTGATTCTCTCTGAACCTAAAAGAACATTTGTCACTAATTCATAATTATCAACATAGAATCTTCTAACCTTTCATGATTTCTATTTCCTCTTGTCTAAACCTAGAAATGACCTATCATTTGAACTCATCTTATGATTTTTCTAAATAAAGTTAATAAGTCATTCATTCTAAATATCATCCTCTGCTCAAGAAAGCAATAATGTAACTTTTTAAAGGAGGCAGTTTAATGGGCTTATGTCTAACTGATTAATGAATTATAGCCCATTTCTTTTCAGAAAGAAATTGAATTTGATTACAATTTGATTAAAATTAAAGGGTATCTAAACAATAAAATGTTTATATATAGAGAATGAAAAGAGATTTTAAAATGAGGCTATCATAGTACCCACGTCATTTCTGAAGACTGGACAAACCTAGTGGATTTTCTTGGTTTCCGATCCCACTAACCCCCTGAGGCTTGAAGGCAGATTCTGGACATTAGCATTTCAAACATGACTCTGCAGAAAGGCACCTGAATTTCACAAGTACCTACTTGGCTATTGGATGAACAGCAATTCCTCGTGGCTGAGAGATGTCCTCCTTAATGATTATTTCACGATGTTTTCCACTTAAGTCACTGACTTCAATAACAGATTTCCTAAAAAAGTATGTCACATAAAGGGGCTTGTTACATTAACTTTACTTTTTAAACAAAAATACTCCTTTTCCTGTTGCTTACTGAATGCACAGACAAGCATTCTAAACTACCCCCATTGGCCCTGGCGGAGTTTCTCAGTGGTTAGAGCGTAGGCCAGAGGACTGAAGGGTCCGGAGTTCAAGTCCGGCCAAGGGCACGTACCTCGGTTGCAGGCTCCATCCCCGGCCCTGGTCAGGACTCATGTGGGAGGCAACCAATCGATGTGTCTCTTTCACATCGACATTTCCCTCTCTTTCTCCCTCCCATCCTATCTGAAAGCAGTGGGGGAAAAAATACCCTTGGGTGACGATTAAAATATTATAATAATAAATAAAATAAACTACCCCCGTTGTGTGTGTGCATGCACACACTCACACACAAATCAGGACCAAGTGCCCATGAATTCAAATTTTTTACAAATAGTCTTTTCATTAGCATGACAATATTTACCCCAAGCAATTAAAATACACAGTGAAAGGGTAAGGTAGCAGGGAATTGTGTCAGTGGCCTGGCAGAGACAAAGCCAGGAGTGTAAATCCCACCACCCCTTTCTCTTCACAACCACTCATCGCCTCTGGAACCAGTGGAAGCCACCGGTGAGGGGGGGTCAGCCTTGTGGTCACAGATCCTGGGAAGGAGGGAGAGGAGACCTCTCAGGGCCCAGAGACAGCCAGCACCAAGACAGTAAGGGAGATTTATGCTTTCATTTTCTTCCACATGATACTTAGACAAACAAGAGTACTGAACTATTATTATTTGCTAAAGTTTACATTTAAAAAAATAGCCCTCTGAAAGAAGAGAAAATTTTTGTTTCCTAATGTTTCCGTTTATTTGTCAAACACACCTTTGCTACCAAACAAATGCTGTATTTACTGAGCAAGCACCTACTGTATATGTCAGGAATTGGCCTAGGCATTGGAGACACGATCGCCTGTCTCTGTCCTTATGGACCTTATAGCTCCGCAGGGGAGCCAGGACAGGGAGGGAGAGGGAAGGTGAGAGGACAGGGAAAGAGCCCCCTAGGCAGAGACATCCGCGAGTGCCCCGTCTGGGAGGCCTAAAGAGTGCGCAACAGTCATAGCGCTGTGGCTCTAGCACAATGCTGTGGAGAGGACGCGGCGGGCAAGCGATGACGGGGACTGAGTTACGGCAGGGGCTGTAGGGTGGAGGAAACTAGATGGAATCAAATGCTAAAATCGATTCTGAAAAGCCCCACGCCATCACTGGCCTGTGAGGTAACCTGGGCTTCTGAGCAGCTTCTGGAGTGGACAGGACCACAGGCAGAGGGGGGAGGGGAGCACCCCTTCCCACCATGGGCCGCCTGTCCTCCCTGTCTCCCTACTGAAACTAGGGAGTGTAACGATCCTTAACACCTTCAACAAGCATCTGGCAAGGGCCTACCGCCTTGTTCTTGTGTGCTGCCTGCTGGCCCCGTTTCCCTTGATGCAAATTAGAAAGTATAATGATCTTGAATTCATTCAGCAAACATCTGGGAAGGGTTTACCCCCTTGTTCTTGTAGGCAGTGTCTCCATGAGACAGGCCTGCCCAGAAACACAAGGCAGGACCATTCTCTCCTCCTGATTCCACAAAACGCTCAGGAGATCTTCTGCAGGTGGTTTGTTGGAGTGCCCTTTCAAGCCGCTGGGTGGAAAAGGGGCTTTATAAATCCCTCCTCACAGGCTATATGCAGGAGGGAGGTAAAGGTCAAATTGGCTCAGGGCCTGTGCTGGGTCAAATATGCTTTACAAACTTCCAACTCAGGGCAATGGATAATTTTAAACCATATATACTCCAGTGCCACTTTCAAAACATAATTCTATTCCCAGATGAAGTGGTCGTCAGAAGGGTACTGCTGGGTGGAAGGTATTTTTGAACTCAATGTGTTCAAGTCACTCAGCCACACTGCCACTGTGCCTGTTCCCTGACCGGGAGGGAAGGAATCCTAAAGACACTTGCTGGTGACTGTCAGTTCTGCTCTCACTGTTGCATCATCTCTACATTCGTACTGTTTTGAACAGGAGAGAGGTGATGAGATTGAGAGCAACATAAACTCTTGTTCTGGAGGTGTCTCGGGCAGGATTGCTGGAATTTACTCTCAAAGCTCCCTGAGGGGTTAACTTGATAATATGCTTCTCTTTGAATCTGCCGAAAGCAAATCTCCAACTCCAGTGTCAGTAATGAGAAAGCTGAGACGAGCGTGGACACTGGGCTCAGCTGAGTTCAAGCATAACCATTACTCTATGGAACATCTTTCTCTTTATATCCAGTACCCAACCGGTCCCATTGTCACTGGGTTCCTCTAGGACCCACACTCCTTCCAGGGCAAAAGTTGTTCAGCCAGAACCCTAGAAAAGTGATTTTTTTTTTTGGATTTTTTTTCCACCTCATGGTAGTTTTTATCTCAAAAGAATGGGCAAAGAGATATATATTTTCACTCTCTTGGTTCTTTTTTACTGGACAATTGACTTTAGGAATCAGGATTCCTTAGTACTAAATAATAGCATCGCCGGTGAAATTATCAATTAGCTTCCTTCCTACTGTTAGATGTTAATTTGAATCTGTCTTTTCCTAAGCCAATATAAACTAGAAGCACCCACTCTGGTTCTTTATTGGTTAAGAGTTACCATGTAATCTAATACCACAAGCTTGGAATCTCAGTTATTTAAATCCAATTTCTAGCTAATATCAAGGTTTTCAAACTATAAACCTTTCATTTCCAGACAAATTAAAGGTTTTCTTTTCGCAGCTGCCTTTAGAGGAAAGAAGACTTACCAGGGGCTTGTTATTACTGAAGTCAGGGAACTAGGGAACCCCAGGCCTGTTTCTCCGGGATACGGTGCCTGCCTATATCCTGAAGGCATCGCCTCGGCAGCAGTCCCGGGGTGCTATTAATCAGACACTGTTCAAATTAGAGGTGCCAGGCAAGTGCGGGAAACACGAGGAGGCCTGGCATCCGCAGAGGGGTCGGCAGCGCTGACATCTGCTGTCCTGATCAGCGTTTACCCTTCTGAGAACAGTCGTGTACAAGCTCTGTCATTACGCACAGCTGACATTTTAAATGTCCTTTTAAGTAAGTTCAACAAAAAGGAGGCCATTATTATGACTTTTATCACCATTACAACTGACGTTGACTTTCATTTGTTATATGACTCTGGGTCGAGCACATTTTAATCAACTCTGATTGGGGGAGGCAGTGCATAGCTATGATTATTAGGAGCGCACGCTTTGGGAGTGGTTGTCCTTGAGTTCAAATTCCACATCCACTGCTTGTGGGCTGTCTGACTTTGGTAAAGTTATTTTACCTCTTTGATTCTCAATTTTTTCATCTTTAAGTTGGGGATAAGAAAACTTATCTTTTGGGGATTCAGTGATATCATGGACATAAAGTTCTTAGTGCAGTGTCTGGAGCATTTCAATAAATAAATAAATGCCTGGAGAATAAGAGAATGAAGGTACATTTAAATGAACGAACGAATGAATGAAAATATTCTCATTCTGGATATAGATGTGGCATATTATTGATCACTGTACATCGCAGCATACGTCTGGCTCATTTTTAGAAATGCATTTGTTTCCCATGGGTTATCCAGACCACAAGAGATTCTCTGGGACGTGGAAAGCGGACCCCCAGGCATAGAAACCTGTTCCCTGGGACTCCTCCCTCTATGTTGGGACAGCTGATTTCACAGATATAAAACCCTAATTAATTCTCCTTTTTCTTCATTTAACATGATTGCATAGGTACCAGATGTTCAGGTTGGCCACCGTTTCACGTTATGGCTTTACGTGACTCTGAGCAAAAATTATTCTAGCACGAAGCATCTCTGGCACCATCCTGTGAGGTGCTCCACAGTCAGTTTCCTCTCTCCCCGAAGCAGGGAAGCAGGGAAGCGCACTCGCATGGCACTCACGAGGGATGCAGGCACTTCCTCCCTCACCCTCCTCCTACCCCACCATTCCTGGGGCCACACAGGCCCACAGGCCACACACACACACACACACACACACACACACACACACACACACACCCCCAATGCAGCAGTCCTTCCTGCAGCCCCAAGAGCAGTGCGCCAGAGACAGAAACACCATAGCTCCTCTCTGGCTCTGCTGTTTTCCACCAAAGGGAAAGCAGACCATTTCTCTGATCTCAAGAGGACTTTCCTCACAACCTCAGCATGAAGCTCTCTCCCTCCTTCATGTCACTTAGAGAGCCAGCATGTGGATTGCAGTCTAAGGTTTGCCACTTGAGTGCTGTGTAACCTTGAATAAAACACTCAGCCCTCTGAGCCTTAGTTTCCGGACCTGTAAAATGAGGGGGTTTGGCCTGTTGATCCCTGAAGCCCCTTACAGCATCCCCTCTAGGAGTGTACACCCCTCATTTGGAAATTGTTTATGCATGGCCTTGTGACATTTCCTGTACTAAAATTTAGCCAAGCGTGTGTATTAGTTTTGCCTGTGTGTATGTGCCTCATCTCCTGGCTAAACTGTGAGCTGACTGAAAAGATGAAACACTCCTCATGCTCCTCTGTGTCTCCCATGTTGACTGGGAGAGAGCCCCATCCACATTAGATGCTCAAAGAATGCTTGCTGACTGTATTCACACAGGTTTTGCATTTCCAGCCTGAAATGCAAAAGCACACGCTACTTTCTCGGTCCTCAAAATTCTCCTACAGGGGAGTGTGGACAGCATTGGGGGCATCTTTCCTCCAATCCCAGCCAGGTCCCCAGGAGTATTTTCCCATGTTCAAAGTGGAAGCTGAAGCCAGCGGTATTACCTATCCCATCGCCCCTATCCCACATGGTTAAAAGGAAACATACCCTCTGTCTGTCCAGTAGAGTTTACGGTCAATCCAGTCTATGGCAAGGCCTTCTGGAACATCTACTGCTTCCTCGATAAGCGTTTCTCGCTGGGAACCATCCATATTGGCTCTCTCTATCCACTTCAGGGCTGTATGGGCAAAGTATATCTACGAAAGAGAACATAGGCATTTCTAACTGATCTGTTTTTTAAAATGAATATGGAATAGATACAAATGGGTTGAGTATGATATAGTAGAATTGTTAAGGACTTGGCTTTGGACATAGACACACCTGCAAATGAACTTCAACTAAGCTGCTTCCAGATACCTGCAAACTTAAGCAAGTTAGTCAATGTCGCAGAGTCTCAGTCTCCTCGTTGGTAAAATGGGGATAATAATACCAAGTACATTAGTTATATAGATAAAACTCCTTAGCCCTGTGCCTGGCACATAGTTCTGTTGAGACTGGTAATTTATTAATCTTTGATCATTGGTCAGTAACAAAGCCATTGAACCCATTGGTCAATAAGAGAGTACTTGAACCCTAGGCTTCTGCAGCCTGAAAGGGAGCAATGATTTTCAGTTTAATGGGGACTACACACTGGGCTGCGTCTTCTACTGCGTGGTCCACAGCATTTCACTTCAGTGCAAATCAGGAGACACAGGTTTCTCCCAGTTTTGCCACTTATTTGTTTGATTACCTTGGCCAAGTCACTGAACCTCAGTTTTCTCAACTGTAAAAATGCTGAAGTTAGACTAACCATTTTCCGAAGTTTTTTTCATCTCTTACCTTATGCAATTGCATTTTAATTAATCCATATTGGATATTGTTACCTTGCGGGCACTAAGCTCTTTTTCAGTCCAGTATGCACACTATCAAAGAGGTACAAGTATTTCATGAGAATCTTAAAAACTGCTATGGGTCAGCTTACAATTTAATGATAGCATTTGTGGGATTTTAACTGTGAGTACACATAGGTAGATAAATCTATAATCGATGAGAGTATTCACAAAATGGTAATTCATTAAGTAATGGATTATCTTTGCAGATAAAATAGAAAAGGTTCTTTTCCATAATACAAAACAGTTACTTCTCCTAGTCAAAAACTCTCTGCTAGAACTCTGCTTCTCAAATTCAAATGGACTCACACATTACCTGGGGACCCTGTTTAACTGCAGACTCTGATTCGGTGGCCAGGGGTGGAGCCTGAGAGTCTGCAGTTCTAACAAGCTGCAGGTGATGTCAGTGCTGCTGGTCCAAGGACCACCGTTTGAGAAGACAATGAGAACATTGACCAGGAAAATAAAAAACAGTCACATGGCTTAAAGTTCATTCTAGGTCTCCCTTATTCGCCTAGTTGTAAAAATACTGACTGTGTAGGAAACGGACTCGTTTGGTAATAAATGAATCTTGAATTGATTTTTTTCTATTAATATTTTCCCCGTTAATGTAATTCTTCCATGGAGTCATATAGATTCAGCTCAGGAAAAAGAAAGAAGAATTGTTCACTGGTGTTTAATTGCTAAACTTCTTTTTGCAAAAGGAGTTACATTCGGCCACCAATCCATACTAATTAAACACAGAATCAATTTGCTTCACTCACCTTTTGGCCATTTACCAGACTGCTTCAAATCAGGAAAAAACAAAAACGCAAAGTTTAAAACTCTAGGAATTAATCTAGTCATTACTAAATAATTATAAAGGGAGATTAATAACCGTGTAAATGTATAAATATGGGTGATTAATCCCCAAAAGATACTGCAACATATTATCTCAAGCACATTCTAACTTAGCACAAATACAACTAACAAAGATAAAATGGTCAACTGATCGGGTTGATAATATAAAAACTCTAAGTTATATACAAAAACTTCATGTACAAGTTGATTATTATGTAAATAATTTCATGAGTTAGACTGCCATTCCCACATGAGCCATAAAATTTCCGTTTCCTGATTTTCATGGTTAAGAGGTCATTGAGTCCCCTCCCTCAATGACATATTAAATGAAAATTACTAACCCATTTTTCCTAAGCCCCACCCCAACCTTCCACTTCTCCTACTACCAGCAAGTGATCAAAAACCTATTTATGGGCTTCTCCTATGTGTATGGATGGCACAGTGCTAGGCTCCCATCATCATGTCCAGAAACAAAACTAAACTTAAGATCCTGCTCACCTATCTCCAAAAAAATGGCTGAATCACATCAAGAACCAGGGTTCTGATAATAGAAAACCCTTTGAAGTTCTCAAATGATGTTTCAATGTCTGTATTTAAATTTTTCTGTGCCTAATGGTTCTGAGCTTCGCAGAGGATTTTCAAGCAGCCCAGGTCATCTGTGAGGATCTTTCCCTACTCTGTCCTTAAAGCACAGCCACATCTGTTCAAGAGACAAAACATTACCTTATTTTCCACAGGGTCATGATCTAGGGCGAAAACCGCTCCCATCTGCTGGCTGAGCAGGCTTCTGTACTCTGTCCCATCAAAATGCATGTGGCGGATATCTTGAGAATTGGCAAACAGCAGAAACGGCTGTGGTCCTGATAACCAAATTCAAATATGGCCCCATTTAAAATACGCCTCAAAAGCCAACAGGCACATCTGACTCTCCCCTTCCTTAATTTCTGCAGTACTTGTTTTCTCAACTTCCCACCAGTGTGCGTAGGGTAAGACAGGCAAGAAGAGTTCTCTTCCATGAGGTGACATATTGCCAGGATTTCATCACTGGATTCCTCCCTGTCTAGGGGCCTGCTTTTCAAGTGCAAATGACTTAGAGAAAGAGCCAGCATTCAATAACTAAATGGTACAAATTTTAGTGCTGTAATCTCCCTGATTCACACATAACTGAAACGTATTAATATTAGCAGATTGTATTAATTCAGGTCCAAAGAGATACCCTTCTCTGGCCCGAGCACTTATAAAACAGAAGCATGATTATTTGAGTTAATAACAAGATCCTTGTTAATTTTCAGAGCTCAGATTATGCTACATTAACTAAGGCTCTGGGAAGTTAAGACTGTTGGGCTCTGACTAAAGCAATCCCAGATTCCAAGTATGATGAACCTCAGGAGAGATGAAATCAATTTGGTATAAATCTGGGATTTCTAATGCTGTTGAAGAGCACAAGAGATGTAACATCAGCAGACAAAAAAAAATAAAAAAATAATAGTTGAAGCATACAACTTCATATTAAATTTTGACATAAAAAAACAGAATTTGTCAAAGTATTATTATTACTATTACATTCACTGGAGAGTTGAAAATCAAACCAACACATATTTTTTTAATTCTTCATAACTACCAAGTGTTTAAATCCATTCTGGTGATGACTTTCATATGTACTGGAATACCACTTGATGCTATAGTAAATGTTTGGTGAATACTAATTAACTTCTAAATATTCCTAAAAAACATGATTATTATTTATATTATTTATATTATTTATAATGTAATTTGTTTTCCATTTCCAAAAATAAAAAAATCAGACTTTTTACCCAGAAGCCAAAAGCAATTTGATGCTGTCTTTCTAAATGAAATGCTGTTTTCACGTACTTTTGCAGAGACACTTTCAAATACCCACAGCACTAACCTGAAGCTACACAGGTTTTTTTGTCCAGTTGAAGGTCGTACCCAGGAAGGCAGCCACACTCCCAGGATACTGGGCTGAGAGCAAGGCAGAGCTGGCTACATCCACCGTTATCAGGCGATGAGCAGCCTGCAAAAAACAATTTTCCATCAAAATATTGAGGTGAGCCAAGTATATGTCGATTTTTAAAACCATTTCCACAGTCATTCATACTGCTTCAATCAAGTTCATTTTCCAGAGATTAGAAACAAAATGTCACCATACTCCACGTCCCTACAACCTAGCATCTTGAGTGTTAACCCTTCCCATACCAATGGCCCTTGTCCTCTTGCCCTACTACTGAATTCACGACCATGTGCATTGGCAGCTAGCTGGCTGGAATACGAAATACGTTTTGATGAGTTTGGCAACTGGTCTAATTCTTCCTAGTGAGTAATTAATTTTTCTCTCTCTCACTTTTGACTGCTTTGGGCCTCTTGACTGCTTTTGCTTTCTCTATTTAAAAAAAAAAAAAGGCCACACACAAGTCTCCTGCTAATTTTGAGTTACACTTATCCCTCTATTTGCTTAAGTCTATGAAGATAAAAGTAGAGAGGTATTTACAGGCACAAGGAACAGGCTAAGCACTTTGCATCCACCATCTGCTTAATCCTGGCTACAAATCCAGGAGGTAGGTATTGCTAACTCTACAGATGAGGGAACTGAGAGCAAGGGAGAGCAGTAACTAGTCTGAAATTACACTGCTAGTAACTGGTAATGCTACCTCGGGGCTGTTTAATTTCAAAGCCTTTGCTCATAACAACTACACTATGCTATCTAAAAACAAAATACAAAAACTTATATTATTCAAATCTATGCTAATCCATTGCAAAAATATCTTTCAATGTGTAATGTTGGAAAAATCTATTCTTCTTTGCCAATAAGATGCAAATTTTAGGTGTCACTTAGAAAATGAGTATTTTCAAACGAACAAAAAGTAAATAAACTTACCACTACACGTTTTTCCATCTGTCTCAAGCACTGAGCCTTCAGGACAGAAACACATGGGACCATCTGAGGTCAGAACACAGTCATGGCTGCATTCAGACCCATTGCTTGGGCAGGGAATTAATTCTAATGAATGAAGAAGACAGTCAAGATTAGTGTTAAGTCAGGTTTGTGGAAGGTCAGTAAAATCCGTTGCTAATAAAAAATGCTATCCTGAAAAGAGTAAGTTACATGAAAAGTAAACATTTATGAATTACTGTGGTAATGAAGATATAAAAAGAAAGAAGAAAATTTCAAATCTAAAGAAAAATAAAGATAGACCTCTGATTCTGGAAAATAACTCTAGTTTTCTCTAAGTTTCTTTTATGTCAAATAATATTTTTATAGTTATTAGTCATCAAAATCCCAAAATATTTAAATGGAATTTGGGTGAATAATTCTCAAGTTCATCTAGAAAACAAATTGTATGTGTAGGAAAACTAAGGACATTGTATGACTGTAGTTAGGTGTAAGAAGAGAATGAGAGGCTCTTAACAAATATCAAAATGTATCACGAAGGAACAATAATTAAAACAGTGTGTAAGGAGTATGGGAATAGATAGAAAGGATAGTAGAACCAGATGGAAAGACTCAGTACACGTAAGAATGTAGCATGTTATAAAGGTATTTAAAATCATTGAGCATGTGAAAGATGTTCTAATCAATGGTAGAGAAATAACTGAGTGATGATCTGGGGCAAAAGTTACATTCCTACCCTACACTATACATCGAAATAAATTCCATGTAAATAAAATATTAAAATGTGAAATATATACTATAGAATTCTCGAAGTTGTGACAATCAGGTGAGATTGTGTGTGCTGTGCTTGGAACACTATACTCTATAACACATAACAGCACGCACTTGAGTATTTGTCAAGGGGTAAACCACATGGTTTTGGAAGAAGGGCAAGTTCCATAGACAGGCGCAGAGGTAATAGGTAATTTCCAAGAAATTCATTACCATTCATCCATTTTTATGTGCCCAATTTCATAAGCATATATAACATTTAAATTGACCTATTCTCCATCATCTCTGAAGCAGGGCTAGAAAATATACATTATTTTATATTTTTACTTGGCTTTTCCCTTTCTACTTAGCTATACTAGCAGATTCTATAAGAATTCTATAAGAAGGTATCTGAGTATGTAATCCTAAATTTGAGTTGAAAATATCCATTTAAACTCATAATGTACTTTTTTAAAAACAGTGTATTCCTAGCTCTGATGACCCAAAAGGCTTAAAAACAGTGACTAATTAGTAGCAGATTATGTTCTCTAAATATAATTTCTCACCAAAAGAAAGTAGTATGCCTTGAGAGATTGCTAATTTCAGGTCTAGAACATGGGCTGTACAAGACAAACCTGGAAAATATGTGCTACAGGCAACAAGGAAACTATCAAAGATCACTGGGGTCAGGAAGCCTGTCGCAGAGGCTCCCACTGGCTAAAGAGGAGACAGGGTTTGCTCGGCGGTGAGGATAACCACCACAATGCGTGGAAACACATAAAAAATGTTACAAATCCAGCATTTGTTCTGTCTTAACTGTACAAATCATATCTTGAAGTAACCAAATAGTTAATGAAAGTTTTCTTTAGAAAGGTATTCCAATTAATAATTAAAAGGAAATACTAGAACTAGATATCACCACTTGAAACCCTTGATGAAATGATGAATCTGGGGAGTGAGAGGTAACGGCTGCTACAACCATTCCCTGGGAGATCGCTGGGCTCTTTCTTGCCCCCCCCCCCCAGGCATCTTGGCAGCTTCAAGGTGTATTTGGTTGGTGGGGTCCTGCAAGGAAGGAAAAAAGATGGTGGCTGAAAAGATGACAAGAAAGTCCCTGGAGGCAACTCTAGGCTCCCACGCCTTGTAGAAAGTGGAAAGTGCGTGCTGTGGGGCCAAGCAGGCTCTGAAAGTTACCAGGCAGGGCAAGAGGAAACGTCCTCCTTGCCAACAACTGGCAGCGTGGTGGCGACCTGAGAGGGGGCACTGCGCCGTGTTGCCAAACGGTGTCCATCACGGCAGTGACAATAATATTGAGTAAGAGAACTGCACACGAGTCTTATATAATTTTATTAACCAATGTCACTCTAATGGGTCTAATTTAAAAAAAGAGAAAACAAATATACTGAATTGGGCACGGCATGTGGAAAATTCCGCAGAACGTGTACACTGGCGACCATTGATCAGGTGATTCTATATCATTAAAAGCATGCCAGGGCTTTTAGTGAAGTCAATCATGCACCTTTTTTCTTTAGTAAAACAGGCCAGGGCTTGTTTCTAAAAGAGAATGAAAGAAAGACCAAGAAAAAGAAAAGACTATTGGGGATGTTTATAATGTGTCTCCTGATGGAAATATAACCACACCTATGACGTATTCGTGCCAAAAATGTCAAAGCCGAGTCTGATCAGGCCTTTAGATCTAACTACGAGTTTGTAAAAGAAAAGGGACAGCACAGAAGTGCCATCAGTAAAATCCAAAATGTGAGAAACTGCAGGGGGAAAAAATGGTTCTTTAACAATACTTGCAAGGGCAAAAAAAGAAGAGAGAGAATCTGTAGAATAAAAGAGGTGTATTAACCTAGCACAGCACACGGAGCTTGTCTGGATACTTCAAACCAAGCAACTGTGTTAAAAAAAATTTTTTAAGATAATTTGAAAACTGACTAGAGATTTGGTATTATTAAGGAATTATTAATTTTTAGGTGTGATAATGGTATTGTGGTTATACCTGAAAACTGACTGGATATTAGATGACATTAGGAACTTAAAGCTAGTTTTTCAGATATAATAATATGATTATGTTTTTAATATGCTTATCTTTTAGTGATATATAATGAAATCTCATAAAATCTGGATAAAGAAACAGGAATATATGTATTTGTTTCCCAACCTTGGAGATTTTGGTTTAACAAGTCTGGGGTAGAGTCCAGTCATTCATGTTTAAAAACAAAACAAAACTCCAAAGTAATTCTGAAGCTTGCTGATGATCCAGGACCATCAACCCAGACCACAGCCACCTCAGAAACGTCAGTGAACATGAAGGAAATAACGCAGCAAGTACTTGCTGTGACTTACGGTGACACCGTTTCCCATCAGGAAGCAGAACAAATCCTACCGGGCACGTGCAATAATAGGATCCGGGGATGTTTTCACACCCAAGAGTACAGCCGTGATTCCAAAAGGCACATTCGTTGACATCTATACAAAGAGAACAGCAAAACACAGATGGTTATTTTTGAAAATAAATCCTAGTATCCCTAATGAGCCCAAAATAGCGTGTCTCACAGTTGACCGTGGAAAGACTGTTTTTGCTACTCTAGCAAAGGATGAAAGAAGCCAGTTCAATGATCGTGAAAGTCACTGTTACTCTGTCATAGTTTATACTTTCAAATACAGATTTTCATAGAATTACCCTGGGAAAAAATTGTACTGTTTCCCCTGAAAAGACAGAGTATCTGAAAGCCACTTCAGGCAGGACTGATGGCAGTTCTTAAGGACAGGACATCCCTGCTGTGCCTTCCAGCCTCTGGAAGCCGACAGGGGCCCTCCCCCGAAGGTGGGCACCGTCCCAGCAGCGTCCCTCAGCTGACACCCAGCCGCCAGGCCCCTGTTCTAGGAGATGCCCCCTCCTACTATTCTTAACAAGTGGCTGTCTCCTTAACCTAACGTCTCACCCCAGCTGCCTCCACTGAGTAAATGCTGCAGCCCTGGAGGCTTGGTCAGCAGCTCCCTGGAGAAAGAACTATTTCTCCTGAGTTCACTAAACCTGGCCCAGAGCTCCCAGTAGGAGGCGCCCTAGGCGGCCAGCCGCCTTCACAGGTCCTGCGGATCCCCACTGGCCTTCAGGGCGTGAGACCTGGAGTCACACACACTCTCTGAGGACCTTATGGCCGCAATGCAACTACTGCCCTAAACTATGTGAAACCTCTGGCATTTTGCACAAACCCGCGGGGTCCATGGGGCCCAGTCAGAGCGCCCCTGCCTAGGGTCAGCCCGCAGCAGCCGCTGAAAGCGTTTGATCCGGGAACACAGCACATAAAGAAGCCTGGGAGTGTGCCAAAGGCTCGAGAACCGGGGGAAATAGAATTGTTTCCCTGGGGAATGCAGGGGGCGGGGAGATCGGCTTCTGGTGGAGGCGCCGGGCGGCG